CCCGGTACCGGTCAACGGATTCCGGTCCGGTCCGGTACCGGTTCATTCCGATCCGGTGACCCGGTTCCGGTCCGTTGACCAGTCTTAAATTATAGAGTAAATATGATTAGGTAAGAGCAACCTAATACAAAAGAAACAGACTTAAATTTGTTTCAGGAAAAACGAGAAAAAATACAAATAGTGGAGGGATTATAACCCAGCAAAAAAGTGGAAAGTTAAGTACCATAACTTGAAACACCAAAAAGTGCGTAGTCTTTTCATCATTTTCAGTCATTGGAATTGTCTATCTCACTATGCTTTGAAATCTGCATGCTATCAAATTATTGATATTCGACTCAGTGCACAACATACAAGCAGTAACATCAAAATTTGGAAATAACATATTCTTCCATGGTTCTAAGCTCAAAAATATGGAAGAAACAAGAATTTTCACATCTCTACCACCAAGTCAATTTTGTTCCACATCCCTTTTCGGCTAAGGAATATGGATGAAACACGCATTTCCACGGCTAAGGAATATGGATAAAACACGCATTTCCACAACTCTAAGGTTAAAAAACCCATCCTAATCCCTCTTTCGTGTCCATATCTCTTTCTGACGAAGGAATTGGAAATTTTTTGTTACATGACTCCTTTTTTCATTTCAAGGTACTGTTAAGTACTGAAACCATTAAAAGAAAGGAAGGAAACCCCCAATTATTTATTGGACACGGGAAATAAATACCATTCAGGTAAAATTTCGCAACAGAAGAGAGAGTGTTCATGTTTGGTAATTCCCTTTTGCCTACATGTTATTGTTGTGTTGACTTTCATATGAACTCGAGCTTAGAATCTGTTCAGAATCTCTTTTGCTAAAATCTGTTAAGTCTAACGACCGGTATAGCCTAAGCGGTAGTCACAACTCTTTTCTATTGTTTGATAAAAGTGGTCAGCAACAGCAGATGTAATAAACGGACGATGAAAATTTCAAGGTGAATTCTTATTCATTAGATTTCTACTGTAAGAGGATATTAACAATATTATGCACATTGACAATCACACACAGCTAGAAACAAACCATGATATAATATTTGTTGGATTTTAAAAAGGTGTTAATGAAAAATAAAGAGTTGTGGATTTTATGAATAGTTATGACTTTTATGAAATATTGAGACTTTTATGGAAAATTGTGACTTTTATGGAAAGTTGTGACTTTTATGAAAGGTGACGACCTTTCTAAAAGATTGTGACTTTTCCAAAGGTTTGTGACCTTTCCGATAAGGCACAATAAAAATCTTTTCGCACTACCCTTTGTTTTCTATAAATTGAGGGATTTCCTCTCATTTTAATATAGAATTCATGGACTTCTTCTTCAACTACTAAATCTAGTATTCTAAGTGTACTTTACTTCCATTGAGTGGTTCGCTGACATTGGAGTTTTTGGTATCTATACTCTGGTGATTGAGATCATTTTACCTTGGGAGGTCATATTCCAAATCAAACCTCGGATATTAGAGGGGAATAATTTCCTTATGGGGACACTGTGAGTTTAGTGGACTTGATCTTTTTCCTATTAAAAATTTCCAGATTCTAGTACGTGTTTTACAAATTTTAGATTTTTGAATTAAATTCAGTTCTTCTATCTTTTTTTTTCTTCACTGGTTCATTAAACTTGGTAACTTCGTGTTTCTGCAAAGTTTGTTGGAATCAGTAAAATTCTTTAGACACATATTAACAACAATTCTTCTTTAAGAAAAATATTTCGTGTATATATTTTTTTAAATTTGTTTCTGATTCTAGTTTCGCTACTAGTTTTAATTTTCTAGTTGTGAAAATGTTCTTAAACTTTGTTGTCTTACAAAGATGTTCAACGTTTGTTCTAAGTATGTTTGGAATACAAGATGAACAACAATCTTTAGGAAATTAATATACTGTTAGTATTTTTTGTATTCTACTAATTGAAAGAATCTGATCATGGAAGTAGAAGATAAATGCATTACTTCTCCACAATTCGTTGCCTTGTTTAGCAAGGTCGAAATGAGAATGTAAACAGAAATTTTTATGGTATTACGTTTAAAGATTACCAGGTAACTTTCTTATTAAATTATTTATGGAGGAAAATAGTTTCTAAGAGTTATCATCTTTGATTTTTTTTTTCAATTATGTGT